CTCCAAAATATTAATTTTCACATAATCTGTACTTCATTTAAAAAATTACGGGAAAAAGTATTGGGAAAATTGAAATTTTTCATAGGACCAATTTTGTAGAGAATTTAATTTTGAACAAGTTTTATGGAAAACTTTTTTTTTTGAAAAAATGCATCTTCGTTGAGACACTGGCAATTTTTAGTTAGAAAACGCGAAAAAACATATATACAGGGTGTTCAAAAAGTTTGGAACCCCCTCTCTATCAGAAAATACTGCGCAAACAAAAAAATTATTAGGACAAAAGTTGCAGGGTTCCGAGTGAGAAATCCAACGGTGACCTTGACCATGACCTTGAAGGTCATTTAGAGGTCAATTTAAAAATTGTTAGTGGAGCCGTATATTTTTGACCCCGGAAATGGAAAAATGGAAATATTTACGTTCGGATATGACCTTGACCATGACCTTCAAGGTCAATTATTAAAAATTTACTTGACCTGTAAACGACCTTGAAGGTCATGGTCAAGGTCATATCCGAACGTAAAAATTCCCATTTTTTCCATTTCCGGGGTCAAAAATATACGGTTCCATTTAAATTTTTCAGGTTGACCTCTAAATGACCGTGAAGGTCATGATCAAGGTCACATTCGAACGTAAAATTTTCCGCTCTTACCATTTCCGGGGTCAAAAGCATACGGTTTCATTTAAAATTTTCAACTTGACCTCTAAATGACCTTCAAGGTCATGGTCAAGGTCACCGTTGGATTGCTCACTCAAAACCCTGCAACTTTTGTCCTAATCATTTTTTTGTTTGAGCAGTATTTTCCGAGATAGAGGGTTCCAAACCTTTTGAAAACCCTGTATGTATACGTTCTATTTTTTGTTCATATATACTTTTTTTAAGTAATATTCATAAATATTCCTAGGTATTACGTTTGACCCTCCATGCGTTGGGTTCTAGGTTTTATGTCTCCTTCTTTTCCTTCTTAACAAGAAATTATCCTTTTTCGTGCAGGAAACAGAAAGCCTTTTCTTTCGTTCAATGATTTCAAGTTTTTTTTTTCATTATCTGCGTCGACATGTTTATTAATATTGATAAAAAAATTGTATCTTTCCGAGGTAAACGTTTCACATGATATTACGCATATACTGGAACATTTTCTTCGGGAAAATGCGGGTTTTATACAT